CGGGGCCAACAGCCCAGGTCAAGACGAGCGCCCGCCCACTGCCAACACCAAGTTCTGCTACCGCCATCGTCCCGATCTATTGTGTCGACGACAAGCAGACGAGCCGTCCATGGAGCAACTACAAGAGCAACTCGGCAGGGAATCCCAGGCTGACCAGCAGAGCATTGCCAATGTCTGGTCGCTCTTCTCCGCTGCCCCGTCTCGCCATCGCAACCTCATGCTGCAAGGTATCCTCGCTCAGTGCTGTTTCCCTCAGCTCTCCTTCATATCCTCGTCCGTCCGCAATCTCATCAAGATCGACTTCCTCGGCGCGCTCCCCACCGAGCTGGGCTTCAAGATCCTCTGCTACCTCGACACAACCTCGCTCTGCAAGGCCTCGCAAGTCAACCGAAGGTGGAGACAACTGGCAGATGACGACGTCGTTTGGCACAAGATGTGCGAGCAACACATTGACAGGAAATGCACAAAGTGCGGCTGGGGGCTCCCGCTGCTCGACCAACGTCGTCTGCGGCACGAGAAGAGACGGATACAACTACGCGCATCTGGACGGGGTCTCAACGAGTGGTCGCCCAATATCACCCCGCAACCAGAAACCTCCCAATCGCATGCCATACTTGCTCATCGATTGTCACAAGACTCTGGCGCCAATGTTGGTGCTAAGCGCTCTGTACCAGAAGACGACTCCTCACCAGAGGCGTCCAACAAGCGAGCATGCACCAGCAACCAAGCAAACCAAGACCAAGTCACAACCTACTTTGACCATCCCAAGAAACGACCGTGGAAAGATGTCTACAAGGATCGATACAAGGTTGGTAGCAACTGGAAGTACGGACGCTATTCAACGCGCACCTTCAGAGGCCACACCAACGGCGTCATGTGCCTGCAGTTCGATGACGAGGTTCTCATCACGGGCTCTTACGATGCCACGGTCAAAGTCTGGGATATCAAGACGGGCCAAGAAATACGCACACTTACCGGCCATACCCAAGGTATCCGGTGCCTGCAGTTTGAAGACAGCAAACTCATCACCGGAAGCTTGGATAATACAATCAAGATTTGGAATTGGCGGACGGGCAAAGAAATCAAAACCTTGACTAGCCATACCAATGGTGTAATTGGCCTGCATATGGCGGACAAGCTCCTGGCATCTGGATCTTCTGATAATACCATCGTGGTACACGACTTTAGCAATATGAAGCGCACCACACTAATGGGACACACGGATTGGGTCAATGCCGTCAAAATTGATCTGCCTTCACGTACTCTCTTCTCTGCATCCGACGACATGACAGTCAAGCTCTGGGATCTCGACACCCATCACTGTATCAAGACATACGAGGGCCACGTAGGCCAAGTTCAACAAGTGCTTCCCCTTCCGCAAGCCTTTGAAATTGACGAAGACGACTTCGTCGCAAATGCAAACAACGACACTTCTGACACGGCCTCTCTCGCCTCCGATACCACCCAATCTTTCGCCCAACCCTCGTCTTCTTCTTCGCACAACTACAACCATCCCGAAGAACCATGTTTCTTCCCAGACGAACCCTCTCGTCCGTCACCACCCTCCTACATGCTCACTGGCTCCCTCGATGGCACGATCCGTCTTTGGCACGTGCCCTCTGGCCGCTGCGTCCACCGCTTCTTCGGCCATGTCGAGGGCATCTGGTCGCTTGCTGCCGATTCCCTTAGATTGGTCAGTGGGGCCGAGGACAAGACGATCAAGATCTGGGATCCCAGAACGGGCAAACATGAGAGGACGCTGACAGGCCACACAGGCCCTATTACTTGTGTGGGCTTGAGTGATGAGAGGGTTGTTAGTGGTAGTGAGGATGGTACGGTGAGGGTGCATTGTTTCGTGGATGAGGGACGGGATTGTTGATGATTGAATGACTGCATAAACGGATACTATTGGATTTATTCTTGTTGCGCCATTGTTGCGCAATTTTAGCGATTTTCTTCTTCTACTGGCCATGGGCAGGTTTAGGTCCCATGTAGGGTTATTGTGGTTTTGGGTGTATTTTATCTTGTCATCATACCTCTTTGATGTCCAGATGGGCGTTTTAATAGATACCCTCCTTCTGTCTTTAGCGAAAATCAATCTCTGGTTGTCTTCAAGATATGCAATGTTTGATGTGTCTAGGCTTAAATCTGCCCTATGTCGATGTATCTACGGATCAATCTTCAGGGATCCTGGCGAGAAGTTGTGTATGGATGGCTTGAAACCATAGAGTACGGTCTGAAGCGATCGCCTAGAGGTCATCATCACTTTCTGGTGCGTTGACACTCCCCACTGTGAAGAAATGCCTTCCAACTTGGCCGCTGGAAACTTCAGAGATAGCGAGTGACTCAGAAGGTACGTTGTTCGAGTTCATCTTTCTCCGGCCATGAGCGCATGCCCTACTCTAAAATGTTCCCTAATCTCGCGTTGTGTCCATCACGAGATGTCGACCTCTAATATGCAAACCTCGCTCACCATTCTAAGCTCAAGCTTTCAACCCAGCTGCCTTTCTTCTCGACTTTTTGCGCACTCACGATGTTCGCGTTGCCCAGATCTGCCCCGTAGAGATGTGCAAAGCAACCTCGTCCGACCTCTTCCCATTTGAGTTCAGCCTTCTTGTCCGCATGAACCTGCCCGTCGCCATCGGTACCCGCGGCCAGCGCCTCGTACTTGATCTTCAGTAGCCACAGCTCCGAGACGTCGCTGAAGAACTTGTCGGCGGTGCCAGGGACTTGCTCTGATGTCGAGAGATGGATGTAACCGTCATTGCGGTCGAGATCTGAGAGCGGAAGACGAGCGGGGAGGGGTGATGGCGGGGCAGAAGGCAGGATCTTATATAAGCAGGTTGGGAGGGGCGAGGGCGCTGGCATTGTGGCGTCTATTTTCGGATTGCGAGAAAGTGGAAAACGCGGTATGCAATGTGCGGTGAGTGGTGGTCTGTGACGTTGCGGGAGAATGGATAGTAGTTTGGGCAGCAGGAACTAGAGAGCGTCACAAGTCGCGAGAAATGCATGTTATGCTCGTGATTGGCCGAGGCGAGATTACGTGAGACCATTTTTTTAGACAGCGTACCACTGTTCAAACATGCCCTTCTGAGCGCCACAAAAGCCAGCCTGATTGTGGCACTTAGGCAACATGTCGCGTCCGTCTTTTCACCGTACACCTACCCATTCGCGACACATCACCAGGTTTTCCTGCATCTCCCCGCCGTCCGGTGCATTTACGTCATTCTGTTCGGGCAGCCTCGCACATTCGCAAGCTTTGGGTGCAGAAGGGCCACCGCAGAACACGTTGGCAACAAAGGACACCTACTCATGAGACCATAAACACTATCGGGCGCCTTTGGAGACTAAACACTATTTTTGCGCATTCCAAACAACAAGATCCGGCAGTGACTACCATTCACATGCGCCCACAGTAGTCGTCAGGCCAGGTGTCGCACGGTTGGTAGGATGCCCCTATCAGCAACAACAGTCGCCCTATCTGCAAGCCAGCCCGACAAACATGGTCCAAACACGGCTCACCCAGGATGAGATGCGCAGTCTCTCAGAAGAGCAAGGGAACGGCCGGACTCGCTGTTGTTTACAGGCGACTGCCGCGACCGCAACGGGGTCACAGGTCGCATTTGACTATCTCAATAAAGGAGCTGCGAACGTCATATTCAAGATTCGGCCAGAACTCAGTCCCAGCGCCAAACGATTTCAGTTCGTCGATGTATCCCCCAAGGACAAGCTGTCTGGAGTAACCACACCAGTAGCCCACCAAAGCCTGATGGGTACAGTCCTCAGAGTCCCAAGGGGCGGCCAAAAGCACCTTTCATCCTTAGAAATACTTGACGGGTTCGAGCATGCAATCCGCCCACTCTTCTTACCAGGTGCCCGTAACAAAATTCAACTAGACCGGGACCTTACCAAACACCTGATGGATCATGAGGGCGTGCTATTGCTCCCAGACGTCATGGACCACCTTTACACTCGAGTTGAAAAGCTTACATTTGCAAACACGCAGTCGCGACGAAAATGCTGGGGGATACTCCTGCCCGACATGTCGCCTATACCAGGGAAATCGATAACGCTAGAAGTGAAGCCAAAGTGGCTTGCACAATCTCCAAACGCACCGCCTAAGGCAGTCCGCTGTCGCACCTGCGCAATGCAAGTAGCTGTGCCCAAGAAACGCGACAACTACATCTGTCCACTCCAGCTGCTCCATGGCAATTCCTCATCGCTGCAACCTTGGTCACAGACAACAGTCATGCGACAATTCGAAGGAGGAAAACCACCAGCCCCAGTAGTCACATCAGCCATTGCAAAAGCTCTCCTAGACTACGTTACAGTAGGCGACGGTATTACTTTACTACAACACCTCCTCAATCTGCAAAGTTCCCTTGATCCTCGCGGCGTCCTTTGCCGACCCCAGGCGGACACTGGAACATTTGATGATAACCTCCGCCTTGCAATGACATTGAGAGACTGTTCAATGTTCATCAAGATCTCATACAACACAGCGGGCGTCACTGCGATTGAGTCGAAACTAGGCGATCTCGACTTCAAGTCCGCCGAAAAGATTGTCGATTGGACGGACAAGGAGAAACAACTCTTACAAGACAGCTCTTACACTAAGAGTGTAAAAGAAGGTCCAATATGTTGGCTCCAGCGGGTACAAGGGGTGAGTGATATTGTCCAGGTATGGAAGTAAGCGTTTGCGAAGGTTCTATCATGATACATGTTTTTATGTTTTTTTTTATCAAGTTTTATTCTGGGCTTGCAACGGATCGGGTTATTATATAGATTAAGATGGGCGCAAGCCTGAAGACTCATGTCTACAAAACTTAATGTATGTACTAGTCCAAAGGAAGACTCAAAAGAGCGAGGGAACTACGCAAATTTCATAGCACCAAGTGCGTCCACACACACACATTCATTCCGCCATAGCAAGGCCACAAGAAAAAAGGAATTTCAACCTTAATCACAAGTTGCAAGGTTCTATTCTATCTCGTAATATCTTATTTTCCAACATGTCCCCATTCACTCTCACTGTACACCTTACCAAGCTCATACCACCCTACCTCTTCTTTCTCCAAACCACCCCAAACTCTCTTCGCCCACTCCGTCGATGTACTCTCCGCAATCTCCTTCCACGGCAATGCCTCACCACTAAATTCATGCAACGCCAAAAAGCGCGGCGCCTCCTCGGTCACATCACCAACCTGAAATTCGTTGATGACAGTTGCGTTGCTAAGTTTAAAGCGGCGTGAGCGCACAAAACCAGGTGCGCGTTCGAGCATGGGGATGTGTTCTTGACGGTACCAAGCATCGAAATCATCAGTGGATGCTGCGTCTTTTGGAGGGTCTAGAGCGGCGGAGATGAGGAATTTGGGTGGGGATGAAGTGGAGCCCTCGACCACCTGTACCTCTTCGTAGAAGCGGATGTCGAAGCGGACATTTTTGTACACATCTTCGATTAGGTCTGCGCCTGGTGGTTTGATGCCTTTGAAACCTTGGCTATCTTTGTAGGATAGGTCCGGGAATTCGTAGAGTGTCTGTAGGGGGGTTGTGGTTAGACGGGATTTCCGGAAAAGGCGGCAGTGCAGTACAGAGGTTATGAACTGAAAAGATGAGCACTTACCAGCCATGGAGCTTCGTTACTATAGTAAGGACGTGAAAGCTTTTGCTGCAGAGCCGTATAGCGAGCAGCGGATGGTACACCGGGAAGGACGAGGACCTCTTTGGCATGCGTCTTTTCACTCTTATGTCAGCTTCTTCACTCCTTTGCCGTGAAACTCTGCCAACCAAGAGCAGAATACATACATTCTCGTACCAATCACAAAACTTCTCGGCAGACAGTTTATCAGGATGCACGATACGCGAAGAAACCCACAGCACACCGCGTGACATGATTGCGAATATGAGGTTATTCAAACTTTGTGGTTCTTTGACTGTGCGAGCGAAGAAGTTATCAACAAGACGATGCTGTGATGATCACAATGTTTTGACACGATGGTGATAAGCAAAGACGTCGGAGGTACTACTACACTGAGATCAGATCAACCCCGTCATGTGATGTTGGGGGAATAGGACCGACAACTAGTCATAGCCCTGGACACCAAGGAACACGTTATCCAACTAAGCCTCCGTAGTATTAGTAAAGACGGGTGGAGTTGTGGGTACCCATGTCCAGCATCGGCACCAGCGGTTAATTCAAGTCTCAGGGGACGGCATCGGGTTGCGATTGAGAGAACTGGTCGTTGTGCCAAATCGAACTTCTATCCGATAGTAGAGAGAAATAAAACGGTTACCAAACTCGCTAAATCGCATCCTCAGATTATAGTCTTCAACAATCGCACTACCTTGTTTGCCTCCAAACACATTTTGAGACTTGTTGCCCTTATGAATCCATGAGATCAATCACTGCGCGACTCTATTATGATACAAATGTACTCTTCTTTGACCTTGGAGAAGGGAGTAATAATCAATGTGATCGATCCATTGCCGCCGCCCGCGGCTCGGTCGAGGCACTTCCTGAGCTTCCCTAACCGTAATGTCGTATGCCACCGTTGACAAGTTTGATGACAAGGAGAACTGCAACGTAGTCGTCAGCGGAATGGGTCGTGCAATTGTAGCTCTACGGCTATGCAGTCGCTACGGCTTTCGTGCTCATGTGTCCGAGAGTAGAGGCTCGACGTTGAGGTTTTGTTGCGGGCTACCGTCAAGCCTAGCTCTTCTCATATGCGCGCTGGACATCGAGCGACTGCTTTCCACCGTTTGCAGTCTGCCAGAAGTCAAGACTGGCAATGACATCGGTACCCAGTTCGTCTTCATAGGAGTATAGGATCTGGACATGGTCAGCATTCTGTATAGATGTCATTTGATGCAGTTGACTTACTTCGCGTGTCGATGTGTGCAGCCATCTAATATTCTTGGCTGTGATGATGTGCACCAGACCTCCGCTCTCCATATGCCGTATCTCAATAAAGCTAGGCTCAAAAGCAAGAATATAGGGATTGAAGATAGCGAAAGCTTGTGGAGTGCCCTCCCATGTAATCTTCCAGTCGGGTCTCGCTCGCCAGCCGTTGCGGTTGACGAAGAATGAGTAGTCCGTGTAGCATAAGAGGAACTCGCTTGCCATACGCTCGATGTGAATTGGTTTGATGTTTTCTTTCCGTACGACAAAGTCGAGCGAAGTATCTGCTTGGTCGAGAAGCGATTGCGTTTCGAGCGTCTCCAGACTGACGACTTCGAAACCGCGCGCGCAGCCAACGCAGAGCTTGGAGCGCAGGAAATGTATCGACGTCGATTCGGTGGGGATGTAAAACTCTTTGTACGGCTTGAGCTGGTCTGCTCCGCTGGTGGAGAGCATCATCTTCGCGAATCCTGACTTCTTGTTCTTGTTGCCCATCTGCTCCTTCGGCTCGTACACCTTGATGGTCGTCGAGAGGGCGGACGTCTTGACTGCAGCAACCAACTGTTGCCCTAAGCAGATGCCGGCCTTGAAGAAGTTGGCGTGGCAAATCTTGCGTGGTCGTTTGACCATAGCCTGTGATTCGTCCGACTCCAGGGCCTCGGTTGAGTAAGAGTACAGCGTCTTGTCGGCCAAGACAAGCACGATTGCGTGTTGTTCGAGAACCTCGATTTGAGTTACGCCCTTGCAATCCAGTACACGCTTGGGCCGCATCGAAGCGTCCTTTGGCTTTCGTTCCACAACGTAAACACCAGCATCCGTACCAAGAGCCAGCTTGCGACCTCCGTCTGTTGAGCGTTAGTGTGAGACTTTTGAGTGCGACAGTTGAATACATACCCAGCGGAACAGCGCAAGTGACTCTGATGGTCGGAGAGAAGAAGCCCTCGTTGACGATCGTCTTGGTAAAGATGTTACTGCGCTCCCTCAGACTTCGCTGCTGCGTGTCGATGTGCTCCATCCACTTCTGTTGAGAGATTGGAGTGCTGGCAAATAGTGTCAACTCGTAACCGCCTTTTCCAAGGTGCTTGAAGGTGATGGGATATCCTTGCTGCTTTGGATCGTTGTTCTTTGGAGTGGCAGCTGCGATAGCCTTTCCGGCAATCAAGTTTGCCGATGGCCTTTTCGCAATGCCTAATTTGGGGTTGACTTCCTCCATTTGTGTGATGACCAACAATTCTAGTGGTATGGGCTTCTTGTAGACTTTCTGTTCTTCGCGCTTGTTCACGGTCTTTGCCCGGACCAGCAAGACCGCATGGTCAAACAAGTAACACGTGATGTCACCGGTGGTTTCTGTTGGAGTCTTCTTCAAAGTGCCCTTGAACACCAATTGTCGGTTCTCATCGGTCAGTTTCAAATCCACGAACTCTCCGGGCCTGAACTTGAGGTCCTTGTTGAGCTGCATCAGATTGAAATGGTTTTCTGCCTTTCCGGATTCCACGTTGACCTTTGATAGAGTCTCTTTGATGATTTTGATAACCTTGGGGATGTCTTCTTTGTCCGGATTATCATCGGCCGTGTACTTTGCAATGTTCTCTAGGAGCAACGGGTACCTGGCCAATCTCGTTGTTGGCTTGGTGAGATAGCCGTTCAGCTCGAGCTTTCGCGACTCCTTCATCCTCTCTACCTCATCGACGAACTTGGCGAATCCGGTGTTTGTACGTTTTTCATGCTCAAACTCGTACTTACCGAAGAGCTGGTTCGCACCGTACTTGATGAAAGGCGCAAAATGTGGCACATACTCGAGGAATATGTCTCCAACGTTTCGAACCACGGCCTCTTTTTGCTGGCGCCTTGTGAGCTGTTCGGCCATGCGAGAGTTGACCATGTAGACTTCTTGGCAATTTGAAAAGACTGTGCGGACAAACTTTTCGCGGCGATGCTCGGGGATAGGTGAAGTAGCGGGGTTACGGAGGGGCTTCATCCAGAAGTCTCGGAGATACTCCAGGTCTTTCACGAAGTCGCGCTCGGTATACATGAGCTCAGAAATGACTTCCTGCCGCTTTTGTTCCTTCTCCGATACACTGTCAGAGATCTCCTTAGGCACCGTGTTGATCCACAGTTTCTGCTCTTCATTGTCTTTATCCTCGTGCAAACTCGCCCTGGATTCCTCACGCTTGAGACCAGGCTGAATGCGCATGTTGAGGCGAGCCTGTTGTTCAAGGCGGCGTGGGCAAGCGATCGAGTAGCACAAGCGGTCGCGTGTACACGTGGGAGAGTAACATTCAGTTAGAAGAGTGAAGACGCCATTGATCTCAGACTTGTCCTCCACCATGGTCTCACGGAACTGGTATATCTCGTTGGTGGAATCTCGCAACCGGTGGGCGTATGTGACATCGTGAAAGAATTTTTGGGCGTCGAGGGAACGACCGAGGAGTAGTGCTAGATTACGATCCGTCGTCTTGATAATGAAGGAGATGAGATCAACTGCATCTGCACCCGTAAAGGCACTCTTGTACACAAGCCCGTCCTTTTCTTTCTCTGTCAGGCCAACTCGGTCCTGGAAAGTTTCGGCGACTCTTGATAGCAAGGCGGGATAGACGAGAGGAGCGCGCCGTTGAGCAGCAGGAACTTGGTTAGCTGTTGAGAGCGATGTCATGGACTGGTTGGAGGTTCTGTTGTTGCTGGCGTTGCTACCCAGAGTCTGGGTGGAATCAGGACGCGACGTCATGGAAGACATGGTGCTTGTCCGCTCTGACGGGGGCACAATGGTCGAGGCCATGGACATGGTGCGGGACTGGTTCGGCATGTTGCCTTGGCTGATGCTTCTGGGATTTGGCGGGAGTCCAGCGTTCATGTGGGATTGTGGGTGTCCGGGCGGTCCCGGTGCCATTTCAGAGCCGCCGGATTCTCGCCTCCGATTCGGTATAATCCTGCCGCTCATCGTCTGTGTGTGCTCTGGGACTTGGGTGTACGAAGTCATGGACATTGTGCGCTCGTCGGGGCGTTCTGGCACCACACGTCCCTGGGCCGTGGTGCGTGCCATGTGGTTCATGTATGGTTGTTGGCGGAAGGTGTTGGCTTGCGAGGGGTGCGAAGGGCCGCCAGGAGTAAACTGCGGGCGCGGATTCAGAGCAAGCGACTGCGAGCGATACGGATCAGAGTTCATGGCAGGGCCAGGGGGCCCGGGAAAGCGGTTGGGTATAGGCTTGGTGAAGGGGGGCTGCCCCGGAGGGGAGGTTCTCGGGTCGAATCGCTGGGGCTGGCCGTATGGCTGGCGCTCTGGGCGAAGCGGCTGGGGGAGGTACTGGGGCTGCGGCTGGCGTTGAGGCTGCGGTGGTCCCTGGTGGTATCGTGGGTCTTGGCCGTAGCCGTTCGGCATGGGGCGATTGTACTGATTCTGAGGGTCCATGGGCCGCTGCTCTCCGGGGCTGGGGCCCTGACGCTGATCGTACTGAGGGTGAGGGCGACGATCATAGCCATTGACTGGCTGGCGCAAGGGCGGGGCGCGCTGCATCATATCGGCGGTCTGGCTGGACATTGTGGCAGCTCTATCGGGCATGCGCATATGAGACTGCGAGGTCATGGTCTGCGAGCGGCCGGCCATTTGGGGACTGGCGCCGAAGATGTTGGTGAAGGCGGTTTCCCGTGCGCCCGTAGGCTGTCCATGGCTGGGGCCGCGCGCATATTCTGGACGTTGCTGGTTCCCGTAGTCGGCCATGTCTCTTCACGCAGTCTTGCCCGGGTCGGGCCTGTGTGCCGCGGGGGGTTGTGTGGGTGAGAACAAGGGCGACTCGGACAGGTGGGGTGAAAGCCGCCCAGCGAGGACCCAGGGCCGTCCGGAATAAAGATGGTGGTTATGGTGGGTTGGGTGCGGAATGAGGGCGAGTATGGGGTAGTCGTATCCATGCATCGTGTGTATGAGAAGCGCTGGCCAGGTGCTGCCCCAAACCGGTTTAGCGCCCTTTCTCCTACGAACGCCCAGCGCAACGACTATCAATCATTCAACGCATCCCCCATCACGCGCCGCTGCCGACTTCCCAACTACTACACCCCGCCGAATACCTGCGTCCACACCGAGCAGGCACCATGTCGTCAAACGAGCTCGCGCCCAGCTTCGCGCCATTCTTTGGCATGGTGAGTGCTTCGCCTTCGCCGTGTTGATGACTTCATAGCTAACCTCCAACCAGAGCGGAATCGCGTTTGCTGTGAGTGGCACTGCTCCCACATAGCTGTCGAACTAATATACGAACCCTGGCCAGATGATCTTTGGATGTACCACGCCCGACACACCCACCTGGACGTGCATGAGCTAACGGCAGCAGGCGCGGGAGCTGCCTATGGCACAGCCAAAGCAGGCATCGGCATCGCGGGTATCGGAACATACAGGCCAGACCTGATTATGAAGGTACGAGTTGAGTACCTAGCATACCTCGGAGCTCTGTCTAACCAGACCAGTCGCTCATCCCCATCGTCATGTCCGGTATCTTGGCCGTCTATGCCCTCGTCATATCCGTCCTCATCGCCAGCGACATTAAGCCGCCGCCGGACAACACATACTCGCTGTATGCTGGATTCATGCACATGGCTGCTGGCTTGTCAGTCGGATTGTCAGGTTTGGCTGCAGGCTACGCGATTGGAATCGTGGGAGACGCTGGCGTGCGCTCTTTCATGCGCCAATCGAGGATCTTCGTCGGCATGGTCCTCATCCTCATTTTCGCTGAAGTTCTGGGTCTCTATGGGTACGTCGACGCGACTGACAACGGCTGGCCGACGACTAACATTACCAGACTCATTGTCGCTCTTATCCTTAACACCCGCGCAAGTGGTTGAGCATAGTCCTGTGAGAAGCACTTAACTTTATGTTATAGCGAACAAGCGAACAAGGCGGACACGGAGATGGATTTTGTACGACTACATGGTGTAGAAACAGTTGACGAGCATGCAAGCATGGAGTTGCAATATTTGGGTTTGCAATACACTGGAGTTTGGGCCAATCTAGTACAATCGAACAGCATGTTATTCCCGTATTGAATCGAAAGTGACAGACAAGATGGCAGAATGCTGGCGAGTAGACTGGACTTGCGTTGATGTTGTCGGATACCAAGACTGTCGTTTAAGCTGCAACCAGCTGGGTGGATCGTTATATCCGTTAATGCGTTGTCTAACGCCCGAGTTTGAACTTGATTAGCCGTGTCCGGGTTCGATACAGCCTTCGCGACGCATGTTCACGCGTTAATACAGAAACGATTGTCTACTTGCAGAATACAAGCTGGGTAAGCCTAAACGAGCTCGTCGAGAAGTGGCGTGCCGTCTCATCTGGCTTAAGTCGGCTCTATTTCAAGCCCAATCCCACGTCCTGCGTCATTGCAGTGAGTACCACCCCGCAGCACTTGTCGCGCCCGCTTATAGTCCCCTTGGCCGTGGTTCTCGAGTGCTACGAGCCCGGCCCTTCCGCCTGGTTGACTTCCACGATACATTTGCTTACTACACAAACAAAGCCGAAGATTGACCCCGCCGTTGCCTGTGCCTGCTGCCATGTGTTGCTTGAATTACTGATTCCTGGATGAGCCCTGACAGCACTGCAACCCTCGATCGCACCCACTACTCGCACCACCCCCTCGCTGCTGCCGCTGCCGCTGCCGCTGTCGCATAACCCGCCACCATGACGACTACCTTCAAGAGCATGCTGCACCCCATGCAGCACCACCGGGACAAGAAGGAGGCCTCCTCGCCGTCGCATTCTGGCCCGCTACACGACCGCACCGATTCCGCCATGGACAGGCCGCGCGAGGAAGAGAAGCAGCATCTGGCGCAATGGGAGGCGCAAAAGCACACACTCAGCCCCGACGAGATTGACATCGATCCGGAAAAGAAGCCTGTTGGCCACTCCTCCAAGGTTCTGCGCCAGGAAGACTTTGAGCTGATTAAGACACTGGGCACGGGTGCGCATGCGACTCCACGCCGCCAGACACAACAAGACTGGACGCTGACTATACGTCAGGTACATTTGCGCGCGTGTGGCTGGTGCGATTGAAGGACGCAAAGGCGGGCGACGAGAACAAAGTCTTTGCCTTGAAGATCCTGCGCAAAGTCGATGGTACGTCTCGCTCGATGCGCTCTGAACGTACTCTCTTGGTATGCGCCTCTACAGCTACTGACCCTCCCAGTCATCCGTCTCAAGCAAGTTGAGCATGTTCGGAACGAGCGCAATGTCCTTGCCAAGGTTGCCGGCCACCCTTTCATAACTACCATGGTCGCAAGCTTCCAATCGCTCGACTCTCTCTACATGGTGGTACGTAGCGACACGTCTTCATAAGCGCTAGTCATTGGCTGATGTGACGGACAGCTTGACTACTGCCCCGGCGGCGAAGTCTTCAGCTATCTGCGGAGAGCACGGCGATTTAACGAGCCCACCTCACAGTTCTACGCTGCTGAGATTGTCCTAATATTAGAGTTCCTCCATGAGAGGGAAGGCGTTGCATATCGCGACCTGAAACCCGAAAATATACTCATAGACGCCGAAGGCCACCTCAAGCTAGTGGACTTTGGGTTTGCTAAGAAAGTAGAAAATAGAGAGACCTACACACTCTGCGGCACACCCGAGTATCTGGCACCCGAGGTCATTCGGAACACAGGTCACGGTACAGCAGTCGATTGGTGGGCATTTGGTATCCTTGTGTACGAGTTCCTCGTAGGACAACCGCCTTTCTGGGACCAAAACCCAATGAAGATCTACGAGCAGTACGCGGCTTTCAATTCATGTTCAAGACACGAGTGCTAACATGTTTTAGGATCGTGGAAGGTCGTGTGCGCTTCCCTTCTGCCATGTCCCCCACTGCGCGCGACCTCATCTCTGGCCTCTGCACAGTCGACACATCCAAGCGACTGGGTAACGTTGCAGGCGGTGCTCAACGTGTAAAACAACACGAGTGGTTTAAGAACATTGACTGGGTGAAACTGTACAACCGCGAAGTCCAAGGACCTATTGTGCCACACCTAAGGGGACCCGCCGATACACGCAACTTTGATGAATACGAACCCGAGTCGGAGAAGAGAGACCCATATACCAAGGAGTTGAGCGACAAGTGGGAGGAGAGCTTCAAGGATTTCTAGGCCTCGCAAGAAGAGACTAGAAGATAGCAGATAGTCTTGGATATGACATGAAGAGCGAAATCAAGACAAAGGGAGGACGTTGGATATGTGGCATGGAGTCCACAACGAAGCCTTGTAGATCAAAGGGGAAAGGGGCCTCATGCTTGATACGGGTTGTTTTTCTTGCTATGACGAGTACCCCCATTGACACGCACGCTATACGTGCTGCGTGGATACTATTGTTACGTTTCGACACGAAGCGCAAACAAATCATATGGAATGTGAAAGCATCCTGGATATGAGTGTCCCATGATCATTCCCATTGTCATCGTCTACGTTCAACCACCCGAGACTTGTTATTGTTGATGTAAAAATGTATATCCAGTAGTGTAGTCTGGACAATGCCATCAATCTTTCGTCACGAGTTTGTACTGCAGTTGTCCTCTTTGCTCTGTCTGCTGCAATCTTCATGCACACGGAAGTATAGTCAGGATTAGCAGGCAAAAATTAAGACAAAAAACATACAACAGCGGGGATTCGCCAGTGGTCACCCACCTGACTACTAATCCGCCGATTACAAGCTTGAGTACCGCTGAGCGAACGGGAAGCGCTATGTTCTTGAATCTATGGTCGTATGTGGAGGACAAGCTCATATGGACGATACATCAAGCCGTAAGTGGAAGGGTGTATGCATGATTACTGCACGGTCAATGGAACAAAACTGCGACAGACGTTTCATGAGACTAGTATGGTGTCTCGGCCATTGGGATGGAGTCGAATTCAGTTTCTCGAAGGCTGAGGTGTGACAAGCGCTTCTCGCGATGACTGTTGTGTTCCATGGCTGTGGTAACTTGTGGACCAGGACGCAATTTACACATGTCAACCAATGGGCAGGAAACGAGGCCTTATCAGCCACAGTGGCGCACGGGAGCCAAATGTGGTGTAGACTGTTGGTGATATCAAGTTTATCTCAACGGCCTGCATACATGTGGCGATGGATGCACGCGGGAGTCCCATGTGCGAATCGACGATGGGTGCGCGGGTGAGCCGGGCGCTACGTACAGTGGGCGTAGATTGAATAGGAGTCGGGAGGGTCCCAGTGGGCTTTGGCTCAAGATGAGTTGGCGAGGAACGTGCTGGGATAGTCCGTGAAGACAACTCCAGGCGTTCAGCTGTGAAAAGTGAAGCGTCCAGTGACATTGGGCGAGCGACGTCTCTAGGATAACGCGTACGTAGGCAGACTGGGCACGCTTTAAGGTGGCAAGTTGGGCGGTGTCAACAGTGAGAGGGGTGAACGAACGCACCCCAAGGCCCAAGCGCGCTTTGAGATTAACATGGTAATACTTGTTTGCAAAGAAGCACAACACGACGCATTTCCTTTTCGTGTCTTGTAGTAATCGGATCGTGCCCCTTTCCTTCTTGTTTTAATCGTAATTGTCTATTCTTCTCGTGAGCCCCCCGCAGCACGACTCTTTCAGATTGCCCGCGAGTGATGGAAAGCCGGCCAAGGCCATCCGATAGCTTCTCACAGCGCCGCGGACCCAGATAAGTCAGGCCAACATTTCCTCGAGTTCTCGCAACGCAACGGCTTCGCAGCGCTTCTCGAAACTGCATGCTGGCCGCCTCCGGCTCGTTGCTGGAATGAGTAGTATCAAGGCGCGGCTGCACAATGCGCGGTCCAAACTTCTGCGACGCAGCAGCGCGACATCGACCCGTGCCAGTGCACGCTCGATAACGTCGTCGGCAGGCAGCGAGCGGCAGCCACCACCACCCAGCTCCCTGCGCAAAAGCGTCTCTCTCCAGAAGCTGCCTGAGGCGTCTAGCCCCGACGCTGCCGACGAGAGAACAGCTGATCCACGAATGGTAAGGTCGGAAGTGCTGGGAACGGCTTCCGAAAGTCAGGCCGACGACGTCCACGGGAGCACTGGCAGCTTGAACACCTCGAGAGATCGACATTCGACATACACGGGCACTTCAGCCGCCAGCACCCACGCCCGCCAGCCCTCAGCAGACGCAGACGACGTGCCCATCGTCTGTCCAGAGGTGACGCTTGAGGCACCCACGCCCATCAACCTCGTAGTGCAGCAGCCTGCCGAGCTCAACCGCGCGGAGCCATCATCGCTTTCTTCCGCACCGAGCGACCACAGCGACCTTCTCCCCGCCGCCAGCAGCAACGACACGTCCCATACGCCATCGCCCGCCCTCGTCCGCCGCCAGTCTGTCGTCAACAAGACCGATGCGCAGATAATCAAGAAGCTGCTCGTCCCCGACATCCCCCAGGCTGCCATAGCTACCGGGCCGCCCACCGTCGCCGATTATTTTGGCGGAGCACCCGCCAACTTCAGCGCAGGCATGCTGCACCGCAAGATCTGGGTCAAGCGGCCCAGTGCCTCGGCCACGCTGGTGCAGATTCGCGAAGACGACCTGGTTGACGATGTCCGCGACATGATTCTCAAAAAGTACGCCAACTCGCTCGGCAGGAGCTTCGACTCGCCCGACGTGACGCTGCGCATCGTGCCGCGCGATGCTCAGCGGGCTGGAGAGCGCACGCTGGGCCCCGAGGAAGACATGTGCCGCACCCTCGATGCCTACTTCCCCGGCGGCCAGACCGTCCACGAGGCCCTTATCATCGACGTGCCGCAACGGCGGACCCCCAAGCCCTCACCACGCGTGCCCTTCTACTACGCCCACCACGAGGACGGCACCCATGCCCAGACCGAGTACTTTCCGCCCATGCC